TTTGTCAAGTGGGCAGGGTTTGGAGGGTATTCCAGGTAGAGGGCATGGCACCTGCGACTGAATGGAAGGGTCCTCGTAGTGTAGTGGACTGTGCTGTGTTTTGTTTTATCTGCTCAGTATTTTCCGTTTCGGGGAAACAGAGCCCATGATAAAATCCTATCTGATCAGAGAACCACATTTCGCTGGGCAGTAACCGGTCCCAGGACTGTGCCTCTGATGTAAAACAGGCCCGTCAGAATCCTTCTCAGGGATGCCATATGTGAGCTCTGGGCAAGAGGAGAGGCCAGCTAGGCTGACGTCACACAAGCTGGGGCTGATGGAGACCATTCCCGCTGCGTGGGGGGATCCCACCTGCAGTAGAAGTCCTGGCTGGGAGCAGAGACAGGAGGAAGACAAGAGCCCTGTCAACATTAGTTGAGCCCCTGAACCCCGTTGAGCCTGATAGCAAAACCATCTCTATCTTTTGAGTTATGTGAGCTATTAAGTTCCCTTTTGTGCCTGAACTAGTTTGAATCGGGCCATCAGTATTGCTCTGATGGATACTAGGAACAAGTGACAAAGTTTGCAATTGGTTCCCTGGCTGGAGCACAAGGTATGACGAGGTGTCATCAAGGGGTGAGGCTCGGTAAAAACTCTCCACAACCCTCTAAGGCTCTTCCCACCTCCCTGCGGAGCCCCACTGGGCCTAAGGCTTGGGTCTCTCATGCCTGGGCAAGGTCTCCTTCAATCCCACGCAAACTGGCACATCCTGGCAGCAGGCGATAGCTGGGTTTTCTTGTTATTTTTGGCTTTAAACTTAACATGAGCTATATTATTTGGGCTCCTGATCCCAGGTCTTTCTCAGAAGTGGCTGTCAGCACTCGAGAGGAAATCCAGGACAGCATATAATTACATGGGGAAGATGGGACAGGTGATGTTTCCCTGGGGGATTACTGAATGCTTCGGGCGGCGTCGGAAGGCAGGGGGCCAGAGGCTGAGTGACTTTCAGCCACCGGAGAAGCGTAATAACTCCCTCAGATACGCAGAGGCCTGCGGTGGCAAGAACAGATCTTGGCTGGGCTTTGCCTGGGACCTAAGTTAATGAGCAGAAGCCTCATTATTCCTGGTTGCTTGACCGCTATTTCGTAACTGTCTCCTGGTCGCCAAGAGCCAAGTTGGCAAAGGGTGATGATCACGCTGGTTTTGTTCACATGCTGAGACCCATCACAGCCAGATCTGGTCCCAGCCGTGCCTGGGAAGGCCCCGGACTTTGTGACATCCATGGCTATCGACAGAGACTTCATGTTTCCCCTCAACTGTCTCCCCATAACATTCCCCATAACACTTCACTCCATCTCTGGAAATTCAACCTTGGGTGTCCAATCTGGGGGAAGGGGACGAAGGGAACTGAGCAGACCATCGAAAGGGGAGAGGAGATCAGAACGTCTCAGCGGTCTCCAGTCCCCTGGAGGCTTGTGGCCCCACTGCACTGCTGCAAGGATGAACCAGAGGAAACGTGCGAGCCTTGCAGATGGAGGGGCTCGCGACGGCCATATGGAAGGACTTTGGGAATGAGCGATGCTTCCCGCCAGCCTGAGGACTGCAAGAAATTAGTCCAGGCCGAAAAGAAATTAGGTGGCAGCCAACCAAGAATCTGGTGAGGGGCAGACAACAGGATGCTACAGGGAGGCCTGTGGGGCCCGTACAGCAGCCGCCAGCTGCACATCGGCGGAGGAGGGGCCCTGCGGGGCTGACGGACAGCCGGGCTCTCTGACGAATCCCGGGGCCCTCTTTGTAAAGTGCTAGGAGGTTAATAAAACACAGGCATGAGTTGCTGGAAGAAGTAGGCCTCCTCGTTTCCTGCCTCAGCCTCACTCGGCTTCTTGGTATCTTTAACCTGGTGTCTTCCTCCTCTTTCATTTCAGAGAACAGCCCTTGACTCTGTCCTTGCTCTGTTCTCTTTCTCCATCACCCTGGGGACTTCACATGTTACGGGTTGAACTATGTCCCCAGGAAGACATATTCAAGTCCTAAGCCCAGGTACCTACGAATGTGACCTTATTTGGAAATTGGGTCTTTGCAGAAGTAATCAAGATGTCATATTGGGGTTGAGCGGGCCCTAATCCAATGACTGATGTCTTTAGGAGAGGAGGGAAATTTCGACGCAGACACACAGGGAGGAAGAAGAGAATGCCCTGGGACAAGGGAGGCAGAGACTGGAGTGGTGTATCTGCAATCCAGGGAACGCTGAGGATTGCCGGCGACCATCAGAAGCTAGGAAGAGGCAGGGAAGGGTTCTCCCTGCCGCCTTCAGAGGCGGCATGGCATGGGAGTCTTGACTCCAGACTTCTAGCCTTCAGGAGTATGAGAAAATAAATTTCCATTGTTTAAACCACCCAGCAGGTGGTACTTGGTTACAGCAGCCTCAGGAAACAGATACACTGCGCATCACCAATGTCTCCTCTTTCTAGCAGCTTCCAGGTCTTTCTGGCTTCCTTGGTTCTGGTGTGTACCCTCCACAGCCCCATTCCCCACTTCTCAAAACAACCACCCTGGCTTATTCTGTTTGGGCTGCTAGACCAAAATACCATAGGCTGGGTGGCTTTGAAACAACAGAAATTTATTTCTCACAGTTCTGGAGGCTGGGAAGTCCAAGATCAAGGCACTGGCAGATTTAGCGTCAGGTGAGGGCTGCTTTCTGGCTCCGCCTCGCTGAAATGTCCTGAAATGGTAGAAGGGGCGAGGCAGCTTTCTGGGGTCCCTTCTATAAGGTCACTAAATCTCATTTAAGAAGGCTACACCCTCATGATCTAGTCACCTCTCAAGGGCCCCACCCCCTAATACCATCACATTGGGGGTTAGGTTTCAACATAAACTTTGGGGGGACATAAATATTCAGACCACAGCAAACCACCAACCACAACAATAAACAAAACCCTTTAAGGTTGAAAATAAACTGGTAGTTAAGTAATGTTCATTTATACAT